GATTGTTGTTGCATTATGGTTTCAAATATTTATTTCTAGTCAGGAGATTACATGTTAGCCTAGCCTAGGTTTAGGGGTTATACTCGCTGAGATTCGTCTCACGGTTATTATAACCCAACTTTTCAGACCCCCAGCAGTAAGGATGCCGAATCCACCGCTTTTTGGAATCCCTGTACAGATACATCAGTATACAAGTACGTACCTCGCAGGAAATGGGGAATCATATGTAAGATACCGATCCATGGTGTTTGTAAACGTGGGCGAATATTTTCATCAGACTCAGGAGTATGTGGCTTGGTGCTTGAGGGATGCTGACGGGAACTTAGGGCAACCCCTTAAGACTTTTGATGTGCCAGTCGGTCAGGATGGATTGATGGAACCCATAATTGCGGGTGGCGAAGTGATCAATCATCAGGATGTCTACGATGTAGATGGCGTTGATGAGCGTATGGATGGGGAGCCACAGGAGCCACAGGTGATAGCTGAAGACCTAGACCAAGCTGCCAAGGAAGAAGACGAACTGGAGGACATGGATCTAGATTCTGATGAAGACCATGGGGAAGTAGCAGAGGTAGGATCGGATGTAGAGATAGGACCCGATGATGAGTTAGGGCTTTATCTTGACCCAGAGCTTGAACCGGATACCGAAGACGAAGAGGCAGCAGCAACGGATATGGATTCCGAAGAGTCCGAGCCTCAAGAGAGATCAGCAGGGGAGTCCTCAGAATCGTCGGATCTGGATTGGGAGCCCTAGCTTAGGTCCCAACTCTTTTAGGGAAGCTAGTACCTTTTTGACTGCGATCTTCCCTGTAGTTGACCCCACCTTTCCTCAGCCATAGTACCTTTTTGATCTGGTGGCTGCTAGAAGTTGTTGTCTTCGTTTAAATCTTTTGATCTGTATAAAGTACGTTGTAAAAAGGGGTTTTAAGTGAGTCATGAAATGTTCATTTCTGTTGGTGCGATGTTTTATCTGTAGTCTCATGTGTTTATCTGTTCGGGTGTATATATATTTATATACGTGGTTTTCGCTTGTGTCTGATCTCTGATGGGGTTTGGATCGGCGATGCATCCTGGGACGTCGCACCATAATCGACCAAGGTAGGGATGTTAGCGCTTCGTAGGGTACGGGGCGTGACATTTACAGCCCTAAATGCCCTTGGGCAAATGTAAATGTCTTTTGGCACATTTTTTGGAGAGTTTTGGGGAAATGAAATTGCATTTCCAAAATCCTTTAACCCAATGTAAGTCCGAAGGTATTTTTGAGCTTTGAGCATTTTTGAAATGCAAATAGACTTTTTTTTCTTCCAATGTTGCCCTCGCTATACTTTCATAATTACGGAAAAGTTTTCCGAAACCCTAATGTTGCCGGCGAGGCCTCAGCCACTGGCGAGCGGCCGGCAGCTGAGTTTTGCTGGAAAGGTTTTGGATTTGTTATAGAAAAAACTAGCAAAAGTCATTTACAAAGGGAAGTTTTTTCCAAATTATATTTAAGTCAAAGTTGTTTCCCAACTTATTTTTAAATTACACTTTACCAAACACTATTTATATTTTGGAAAACTTCTCTCGCATGAAGTCCTTTGTATTTTTCCAATGACTTTCCTCCAAAACCAAACTAAACACATAAATTGTGTTATCTCTTTCCGAGATCGTTCTATGCTTCCACAGGATGAGTTGCAGTATTTTTTCCCAGTGGAAACTTTCGCTTGTTTAAATCAAGGAACACACGACAACGTTAACAAAACTTTTGGTCTCACTGAAAGAGATCCGCCATATGGAACTTCTTATTAGGTCATCGCCTAAAAAGCAAAGGAACGCTATCTCAGGTTTTGTTGGTTAAAAGTACTTGGTTTTTCTTTGTATTGCTAGGATGGCGTTAAATCCACTCCTGCATTGGCTTCGTCTGCGCCATTGAAAGTTGAGATGACAAAACAACTCAGGCCGAGGCCGTAGCCGTGGGTTCCACGGTCCCCGGAGCCCCCACTTCTTTGATGCTCGCCGTCCTTGTCATCCTTGGCATCATCACCCTGTCCACAACTGGATGCGGTGCATCGTCACGAGCAATAGGGCCGAGCGTGCGTCGCCGGCATCACTCTCGTCATATCGTGGCTCGGCTTCTTCGCTTTCAACTTACAACCATGCCCGGATGTTTCTCTATCAAATTTCCCCCGGCTGGCCACATGCGCCGTGTCAGATCCGACATCTTCATATCTGGCTGCCAGTCTTCGACCACGAGGGCGGGGAGAGAATTTTGCTCAACCGCGAGCCTCCTGTAATTCCAAGCGGTGCAGTACTCGGGATTGATCTCCAGAAGCTTCGCGCACGCGTCGAGAGGCTCCTTCGTGTGTCCGAGAGCAACATCGCATCACAATCAATTCAGAAAACGTAATCACAAGAGATCGCTCGCATGACGCTTTTGATCTTGCAACCGACGACAGAACAGAAGTGAAATGAAGACTGAGAAAGTGAGAGAGAGTGCATGTGGCTGTGGTGATTAGAGAGAAACTGGGATTGACGAGCTCTTAGCTTCTGAGCTTTGGCGGCCGATGCTGCTGCATCTTCCTGCTTCGTTACCGTCCGAGGCCGGCCGTGCGTTGTTTCCGGTGGATAAAACCGTTGAACTTTGGAACTCCCGGTTTCGGTTGTCTTGTCGTTTTTACTTTTAAGTGGGTAGATAAGCCAACGGAGGAGTGGATTTAACGCCGCCCTTATTATTACTATCATCATCATCATCATCATCATCATCATCATGCGGTACACAGACTACAAGAACTCGTGAACCGGTTGGCTTCTGCATGTGCTTTTAGCAAGTGACGAACCGATAGTTCACAATAAGATGGCCCTGAGCGTAGCCATTTCCGTCGGTGTCCAACCTTTGAAACACGCCCGCATCCAAATCCAACCCTCCGTTGCTGCACTGGTCGATGATCTTCGCTCTCGCCTGAGCTCCGGTCCTCGTGTTGGTCACCTGCGCATGCCAAAGACACGAACCTTTACATAAGCAGTCTACTAAATATGGTTTTCTCGAATATTGTTAAGGCTACGTATGTATCACACGGTTGGGTTGAAGTGACGAAATGTGCATATGATTACACCATCGTCGTGCATCTTTGAGGGTCCTTAGTGCTCACCCTTAAGCACCGGCCGCAAGAGGCCTGCCCGCGAGGCCCGACCGGCCACAGAAGGAGGTCCAACCATATATCTTGCGCCATGCGAGGGGCTTATTCGCATCCCAGGTCGAGCAATAAGCACGTTCCGCGTTCAAGTCCCACCCGTTCTGCTCGCGATAGTGGTAATGGTATGTTGCCCTGACGTTGGAAGCGCTCTGAGCAAGAGCGGCAGCCACCACAGAAACCGAAACTACCATGAAAATGCTGATAAGCCTCCCCATGCATATCATCTGATGTTTTTTGATGTGTTCTTGCGTAAGATTGTGCATCAAGAGGAGGGTTGATTTATAGGGGACGAGAGAGAGAGGGAGCTCTTCTGAACCTATCAAGTTTCCACTCGGAAGGATTCTGAGCGGCAAACATGAACATATGTCAATGCATTTGTCTTGACTGGATGCAGTTTCCTTCGATATTATCGTGCTATGATGATTGCAAATCCAGTTGCTATACCGAATCGATAACGACATTCGCAAGCATATTCGCAAATAGCACCACGACATGAAACAAATTAAGTAATCTGGATACTCAGATGTTTCCGATCATTGGTTGTTTACTTAGCCAAATAAGGCACACTAGGTTTTTGTCCATTGTAGTGGCTGGATTGTACTCCAGACAATGCTCATATAGGCATATTCTTTCCCAATCCATTAGATTAAGTCAACTATAATTTAGCTCAAAACTTTGCTGCAACATTAAGCTTTGAACTCTACAAACCATTTCATTTTTTCTCTATCCTTGATGATATATTTTCATGTCAAGTCTCCACCATATATGGTTAATCCCAACATTTCTGATTTTTATTTGTGTGAGATTGCAAGGTATTTAAAACATACTAAAGCTAATCCATTACATTGATTATCGGATGTGTAACCGGACCGTAAGTAAACATCGATTCCAATGAATCAATCTTGCCATACCTTATATCAATAGGTGAAAAACCAATCCATCAAAATCCTCTTATATTTGAATCATGAAGTACCTCTACCTTGTGACCTAGCACATTTTCGGGGCCAAAAAGGGATTGGACAGGGTTGGATTATCTGCACATTTTCGTGACTTAGCACCTACTCGTACATTTAAACGAAATTATTTTTTTCCCTCGACGAGATAGATTTTTCATTCCAAAGAAGTATGGTAGTAAACGACACAATCATAGAACGTGAATGTCAATAATAATAGTGATTTAGCAACTAACTGAGACAATTTTCAGAGCTGTAAAATATTATGAAAACCTTATCAACGTTCTCTCAATTACACATTGTATCTTCGACTTTTAAATCTATTATAACACTCTTTAGTCTCAAAATTTGATATTTTGCTCTGTCTATTTCAAAAGACAACTTAACTAAGCGTTGTTCACTTTTTATATTTCTTGCACTCGAAGTATAACTTAACGTAGCCCGATCCTCTAAAATGTATATTTTAGGGTGAGGTTGCAAAGTATATAAGGAAAATTTCTAATATTTCTGTTAAACTGTAACTTCTACCAAAGATACTTTTGAGATTATTCCACGCTTCCACAAATGAGTTGCAGCATTTATTCCAACGCAAGCTTTAGCTTGTTATGACTAATGGAACACACGACAGCATCAACAAAACTTTTGGTCTCGCTAGACATGATCCACCATTTGGAACTTCTTGTCAGGTCATCGCCATTAACGCAGAGGAACACGATCTCAGAAAATTAACAGGATATACAAGGGAAAAAAGAGATTAGGAATAGGTTTTGCTGAGTAGAAGCACTTGTAATTATCGTTATTGTTGCTATTATGATCCTCATGCGGTACGCTCACTATAGAGAACTCTTGAAATGGTTACATTTTGCATGTGCTTTTAGCAATTTATAAACTGATAGTCCACAATAAGATGGCCCTGAGCGTATCCACTTCCGTCGGTGTCCAACATTTGAAACACGCCGGTGTCCAAATCCAACCCTCCGTTGCTGCACTGGTCGATGATCCTCACTGTCGCCTGAGCTCCGGTCCCCGTGTTGGTCACCTGTGCATGCCAAAGACATAAATCTTTACCTAAAAAGGTCTGCTAATTATGGTTTTCTAGAATACTAAGACTACATATATGGATCATACGCTCGGATCGAAGTTATAAATGCGCATATGATTGCATCATCCCCGTGCATCTGTAAGGCTTCTTGATTCTTACCCTTAAGCAACGGCCGCAAGAGGCCTCCCCGCGAGGCCCGACCGGGCCACAGAAGGAGGTCCAACCGTACTCCTCGCGCCATGCGAGGGGCTCATTCGCGTCCCATGTCGAGCAAAAAGCGTGGACCGCGTTCAAGTCCCACCCGTTCTGCTGGGGATTGTAGTCATTGTACGTTGCCAAGACATTGGAAGCGCTCTGAGCAAGAGCAGCAGCCACGGCAGAAACCAAAACTACCGTGAAAATGCTAATAGACCTCCCCATATCATCTGATGTTTCTGCTGTGTTCTTGTTTAAGATCGTTGTTCAAGAGGAGGGTCGATATATAGGAGACGAGAGAGAGAATTCTTCAGAAACTACCAAATAGTTGATCCCTCGAAAGAATTCTGAGCAGCCATATGAACTGTATGTCTATGTCTTTATCTTAACGTGGATACATTTCCTTCGATTATATCGTTCTGATCACAATGATTGGAACTACAGTGGCTACACTGATACGATATCGACATTCAAAAGCGAATGTGCGAATAGCACAACGACATGGAACTAATTTAAGTTCTCTGGATATTCCTGTTGTTTCCGCTCATTGGTTGGTTTCTTGTCAAACAGAGCACACAAGGTTTTTGACCATTGTAGCTGCATCGTACTCCAGACAATACACGTATAGACGACGTCTTTCGAAGTCCATTAGGATTGACAATCATCGCCCCCGCATGGAATTGCACACGAGCTTAACCGGGTCATTGTCTGCACCACTAGCCCTCAAGTCTTTTTAAAATCGACATGTTTAGCACAATCTTCTCGTGTTGCTGCAACATCGAGCTATGAAAATTTTGGTTCTGGGCAACAAATATAACGTGTTCTACGAATTAGATCGATGTTAAGATTTTTATCGACGAGCGCCTTTAGATAATCGCTAAGCAATTAAATAAGGTCAGTTTGCAGCTTTTAATACACTACTTTTCTCATGTCAATTGAAAATCGAAACATTTTCTATCATGTGTATGTAAGTCAGGTGGATGCCTACATGGTAAATCTAATGTCAAGTTAACAAAAACTATAGCCACGTCAGCTAACGATATTGGAATTTTTAGCGGCGGGACTACATTGATTGGATTTGGAAAATTCAAGGATGAGATTGAAGGAGAAAAGTTCAAAGGCTACTTTTCTAGAATCACCCCATGTCATTTTCCCTGGTTGAAAATAAGAAAGTGTTTTGAAGAGTAGGGGAGAGGAATCGGCAAGGGCACGAGAGATAATTACAAAAGATGAAAATATGAGATGTTGAAGCGGTTTTCCACACTTTGAGGAATCAATCCACTGTCAAAACTAAGGCTGCGTTTGGTCGATCGGATAAAAGTCAGGATAGGATATGTTTTATCCTATCCTATGTTTGGTGGTGGTCCAGGATAGGATAAGGTCGGATATAGACCGGTTATAGCCCGGATAAAAAAATTCGAGGGAGGGTGGGATAAACCTGGATAGGATTTCTAATGCCTATTTTTCCAGAAACCCTACGCTCCACTCGCCGTCATCTTCATCCCCACACCTTGTGCTCTTTCACCAAAAAAATTTCTCTGCTTTTTTTCCTTCACCGACTCCTCCGGACCCGTGAATAGCCAAAAAAAAAATTATCATATCCGACTTTAAATCCGTAGTCCACCAAACAATAGATAGGATATGAAGAAATTCCAAGATTTCTTATCCTATCCTATCCAGTCTTATCCTGTTTAGAAATCCGGACAACCAAACACAGCCTTAAACGTATTCAACTATATTTTGTCGTAAATTTTATACCAAATGTCGCTACACACATACACATATAATTGACTGGCTTTCAACGAATGGCTAAGATATATTAATTTACAATCCAGCGATGATTCATTTCCATAGTAATGATTTTCTATAGAAAAATACCTCGGTACTAACCGGTTGTGTGGCATCTTGTTATTACATCTGATCGTAAAGCTAGCCTGTCACAAATTAATGAATATTTAAGGAAAAAGGAATCCAAATAATGTTAAGTTTCATATCTAAAGATCAAATGTTATACCAGGAAAGGGACTCGTCTATTCCGTGGAATAGAACAAAAAATTTTCCTAAGATATTCCCCATGGCGTCTTATCATAACCAACATCAACATTTTTTCACAGGATACAAAAGATGGAAGTTTCTTTCCAAGGGAAGAGACTAGTAGTAGGTTTTGCTGATTTGAAGCACTTATAATCGTTATGATCTCCATGCGGTACACACACTATAGAGAACTCTCGAAATGGTTGCATTTTGCATGTGCTTTTAGCAAGTGATAAACTGATAGTCCACAATAAGATGGCCCTGAGCGTAGCCACTTCCGTCCGTGTCCAACATTTGAAACACGCCAGTGTACAAATCCAACCCTCCGTTGCTGCACTGGTCGATGATCCTCACTGTCGTTTGAGCTCCGGTCTCTGTGTTGGTCACCTGAGCATGCTGAAGACATGAACCTTTACCTAAAAAGTCCGCTAAATAATGTTTTCTAGAATACTAAGACTACATATTTGGATCATATGCTCGGATCGAAGTTATAAATGCGCATATGATTGCATCATCCCCATGCATCCGTAAGGCTTCTTGGTTCTCACCCTTAAGCAACGGCTGCAAGAGGCCTCCCCGCTAGGCCCGACCGGGCCGCTGAAGGTGGTCCAACCATACTCCTCGTGCCATGCGAGGGGCTCATTCGCGTCCCACATCGAGCAAAAAGCGTGGACAGCGTTCAAGTCCCCACCCGTTCTGCTGGGGATTGTAGTCATTGTACGTTGCCAAGACATTGGAAGCGCTCTGAGCATGAGCAGCGGCCACGACAGATGCCAAAACTATCACGAAAATAATAATGACCCTCCCCATACCGTGTGATGTTTCGTATATGTTCTTCTGTAAGATCGTTGTCCAAGAGGAGGGTTTATATATAGGGGACGAAAGAGAGGGAGAGCTTTTCAGAAACTACCAAATGGTTGACCCCTTGAAAGAATCCTGAGCAGCCATATGAACTTATGTCTATGTCTTTATCTTGGCTAGATATATTTTCCTTAGATATTACCGTGCTGATCACGATGATTGGAACTCCAGTGGCTGCACTGATACGACAACACGTGCAAATAGCGCAACGACATGAATTAAAATTTAGTGCTCTGGATACTCCAATTGTTTCCGCTCATTGGTTGGTTACTTGCCAAACAAAGCACACTAGGTTTTTGTCCATTGTAGTAGCTGGACTGTACTCCAGACAATGATCATATAGACAAATGCTTTCGAAGTCCATTCGGATTGACAATCATTGCCCCCGCATGGAATTGCATACGAGCTTAACCGGGTCAATGTCTGCACCACCAGCCCCTAAGTATTTTCGAAAACGATTAGCGAGTCAACTAAAGTTTAGCTCAAACTTCTCGTGTTGCTGCAAGTTTGAGCTATGAAAAACTGGTTCTGGGCAACGAAATAAAGCATGTTCTACAAGATAGACCAATGTTGAGATTTTTATCATGAGCGCCTTTTGGATAATCGTTAAGTAATTTAGGCTCCGTTCGTTTGGCGGAAAATATTCTCCTTTTGGAAAATATTTTCCCGGAAGTCATTTTCCTAGAAAATATTTTCCCGGAACATAATTTTCCGGTGTTCGGCAACCAATATGAAAAAGTTTCGGAAAATATTTTTTGCCGGCGACCGGCGGCGGCGGCGTCCGGCGGCCGGCGACCGGCGGCCGCAACCGGCGGCGGCGACCGGCGACCTTAGTGAAGAAGAAGAAGAAGAAGAAGAAGCTCTGGAAAATGATTTCCGCTTTTGAAGAAGCGGAAGTCATTTTCCGTAGACTTAGGCTATTTTGTGAGGGGGGAAGGAAAATATTTTCCCACGGAAAACGTTTTCCGCCCCCCGAACACCGGAAAACCCGGAAAATATTTTCCGGGAGAATATTTTCCGCCAAACGAACGGAGCCTTAAATAATGTCAGTTTGCAGCTTTTAATACACTACTTTGCTCCTGTCATTTGAAAATGGAAACATTTTGTATCATGGGTATGCTGTTAACAGGTGCCCCAGTACACTCATTAACGAGATCTTAATATATGAGATATCATAAGAAAATTCATTGTCATGTAAAAGTAATTCTTGTGTAATTTTCAGAACGCATCAATGAAGGTTCAACAAGAAGAGTAAATGTTCACGAACTTTTCTTTAATGTTTCAAGTGGTTCCTTAAACTTTCAAAAATCCGCTCAACGTAGTCCTTCCATTACATATATCACCACATTTTTTTCACGTGAACTGCTACGTTAACATTTATTGGGCCATAATAATGATGTGGACTGCCATGTTGTTTTCTCGAGTTAGCAGATCTTTTCTTTCCTTTCTTTTTGGGCCAAAATAATGAGAGAAATATATTGTGGAAGCCACATGTAAACCATGCGGACACCTACATGGCAAATCTTACGTCAAGTTGACAAAAACTATGGCCACGTCAGCTAACAATATTGAAATTTTATAGCGGAAGGACTACATTGATTGGATTGAAAAAAAAAAAGGTTCAAAGATTACATTGAACATTTAAGAAAAGTTCAGGAATTATCCATGTCATTATCTCTTACTGAAAAGAAGAAGTTGTTTTGAAGAATAGGATAGGAGAATTGACAAGAAGACAAAAGATGAGATGTGGAAGTGGTCTCCGACTCTTCGAGGAATCAATCAACGGTCATAACTGATTGTATTGAAGTGCATTCGTAAATTTTATACCAAATGTTGCTAAGCATATATACCATCAAAATGTTTTCAAAGAACAGTTAAGATTTATTTATTTGCAATCTAGAGATGATCAATTACCTTGGCAACGAAAGAACTATAGAAAATCCCAGTGTACCAACCGGTTTTGTGGCATCATGTAGTTATGTCATCTGATAGTAAAGCTAGCCCATCACAATTAATGACTATTCGGGGAAAAAGAAAGCCAAAGGCTCACGCAATTTCCAACTTCTAAATGGCTATAACATTCCATAAATTATTGAGTTGATGAAAATAATCTCAAGCTAACTTATCGATCAAAATCACAAATGGAAATGCTGAAAGTTCTATTTATTTAAAATGCAAAAACCCCACATTATCATGAAAATATAAGATTGTCCGTGGTAGTCAAAACAACGATTTCACAACCTTATATTATTTTCCACTCGTTTTTATATATGCAGACTTCATTTCCTCTCTTCTATTTACTAATGTGCTCAAGTTGATTTTTATTAAGGATTTTTTTGTAGTGAGTTTGTATCTTGTAGTTTAACTTTGTTAATTAACATATTTTAAATATAAATTATACTTATAAGAGTTCAAGAAAAACTTGAATTAAAGAATTGTATACTACAACGAGTTATTCCATATTAAACTTTGGAGAAATATTGTTGATAAATAAACTTTATCGATATTGTTTTAAATTAAAATCTCGATCATTAAATTTATCAAAATGCTCGTATCTTAGATGATTCTTGTAAAAAAGCAATAAACATGTAAACTTCTCCAATTTGAACCTAAAAGAAGAAGAAACAATAGTTTAGGAAAGGTAAATTGAAATTACTAGATCTATTGGCCTATGTGAGATGAATAATTTTTCCTCTTTCATCAATCTTACCGGTAATGAAGTCTCAATGAGGGCTATTTTGGACCATTTAAATTTTAGGTTGTATCTACAGCTATTTGAGGGGTGATAATAGCGTAAGCCATAATTTAATCATGAAAGATCAAAAGTTATAACTAAAAAGGGACTCGTCTATTTCGTGAAAAAGAAGCAAATATTTATCAGATATACCCATGCCATTATATCATTACCAACATCTAAATTTTTCACATGATATAAAAGGTGGAAGTATATTTCAAGGGAAGAGATTGGCCACAGGTTTTGCTGATTGAAAGCACTTACTGTTATTGTTCTTTATTAATATGATCTTCTTGCGGTACACATATTATGGAGAACTCTTGAAATGGTTGCATTTTGCATGTGCTTTTATCAAGTGACAAACTGATAGTTCACTATAAGATGGCCTTGAGCGTTGCCATTTCCATCAGTGTCCAACCTGCGGAACACACCGGTGTCCAAATCCAACCCTCCGTTTCTGCACTGGTCGACGATCCTCACTGTTTCCTGAGATCCGGTCCTCGTGTTGGTAACCTGTGCATGCCAAAGACGTAAACCTTTACATAAGATTACATCATCGTGGTACATCTTTGTGGCTTCTTAGTTCTTACCCTTAAGCACTGGCCGCAAGATGCCTGTCCGCGAGGCCCGATCGGGCCACAGAAGGCAGTCCAACCGTACTCCTTGCGCCATGCCAGGGGCTTATTCGCGTCCCAGGTCGCGCAGTAAGCGGGGGCCGCGTTCAAGTCCCACCCAATCTGCTCGGGGTTGTAGTCATTGTACGTTGCCAAGACATTGGAAGCGCTCTGAGCAAGAGCAGCGGCCACGACAGAAACCAAAACTACCATGAAAAAGCTAAAAAGCCTCCCCATACCATGTGATGTTTTTGATGTTTCTGATGCGTTCTTGTGTAAGATTGTGCTTCAAGAGGACGGTGGATTTATAGGGGACGAGAGAGAGAGAGAGCGCGCTCTTTCAGGATTATTAAAGTGAGAGAGAGAGAGCTCTTTCAAAAAGCTCTTCTAAAATTATTAAAGTGAGAGAGAGAGAGAGCTCTTTCGAAATTATTAAAGTTACCCGTCGGAAGAATTCTGAGCAGCCGTATCGACACGAGAACATATGTGTCTGTCTTTGTCCTGACTGGAAACTGTTTTTCGTTTCTGAACATACATGCTTTCATGGAGTCCCCCCATAACCAAGATTAGTGGGAGGCAATACATATTCAACGTGTGAAGACTAATTCAGTCAGATTAACTCAGTCATACTTTTCAAAGAAAAGTCCCCCACACAAAGTTTTCACACATTTAATTTAAGTTTAACCGATTTTGTTTACCAATTCTTCAAAAATGGAGGTGATCACGAAGCCGGTCCAAATGTCGGGCTTAATGTACCCATAACATAAAATGTACATATAAGTGTTCGGGCTGGATTGGGCTGAACTGATTCAAATTTGGACATGCTGAGCTTTCTCATGTAAGGACATTGCCCAAATTTGCCCATTTGCTTTTCGGGTCTAGGCGGGCTGAATGGGCCGCCCTCCTATTGATCACCTCTATCTTTAAATGGCTTCCATAAATGATACATGTGTTTCGATATCACAGCTCATCCATTTTTTTTTTGTTCTCGATGAACCGGCTTATTCAAAACTTTTGTATTTTTGGGACTGGTAAGGGCGAGAACAAGCAAAAAGAGATTAACGTTCTCGACCCTCATGGAGTTGGAATAATCTTTAGTTTGAAAATTGGTTGCAGAACGGACTAGCACTTCAAAGAAAAAAGTTATTACCACCTACTCATCCCTATGATCAAAAGGTTGAATTCTATCTTGTTCGGTCCATGTGCAATACAGATTTCATTATCACCGCAGTTAAATTGGATGATTGCCACGTAAGTTTAATTTCACATCTAATTACGACTCCAAGGTTTTGATAAGTCTAAGGTTGCACGTGGTGGTGGAGGACCAAGAAGACCAAGTCACGTGTAATTATATATGCAGGAGACTTCATAGAGAGAAATAAGCAATTAAGTAGACTAATGTTTTGATACTTTTAGGGCACTGCTCGTGCATGCACTATTAGGTACAGAAATTTTGATTTTTCAAAATGTGGAGCCTAAGTAAAATATATCAGTGTTAAGGATTTTATGGACGAGCGCCCTCAGATAAATTTGTTAAGCAATCACATAAGGCTAGTTTGCGGCTTTTGATACGTTACTGTCCTCATGTCAATTGAAAATTGAAACATTTTTTGTCATGCGAAAGCTATGAGGGTAAAATGTTCCTTTTAGCTATTTTTTAAGTGAAGAAATGATATGGGTTAACCATAACTTTTCTTCAATGTTAATGTGGTTCTTTGAACTTTTTTAATTTTTCTTCAATGTTGACGTGAACTATCACGTTAGCGTTTATTTGGTCAAAATAATGATGGGAACTGCCACGTCGTTTTTTCAAGCTAGCATATCTTTTTTTTTTTTTCCTTTCTTCTTGGGCCAAAATAATGAGGGATTGCGGGATATATCGCGGAAGGCACATGTGAGCCACGTGGAAGCCAACATGGCAAATCTAATTTCTAGTTAACAGAAATACTGGCCTCATCGGCTAACGATGTTAAAAATTTTTATGGAAGGACTACATCGATTGAATTTTTTATCAAAGACTAGATTGAATACAAAAAAATTTAAAGGCCGCACTGAACATGAAAAGAAAGTTGAGGTAATTAAGGAATTACGTCATGTCATCATCCCTTATTGCAAACACGAAAGTGTTTCAAAGAGTAGGGTACGGGAATCGACAAGAAGAATGGGCATAAGAGATTTTTACAAAAGGCGAGATGCAGTAGTGGTCTTCGACTTTCGGAGGAATTATCCACCGTTATAACCGATTGTAGTCAAGTGCATTTTGTCGTAAATTTCATACAAAATTTCGTTATACATATATATAATTAAAAATATTTTCAACGGATGGCTAAGATTTATATACTTGCGATCAAATTATGATCAATTTTCCTAATAACGCCATGATGCTAACCGGTTTTGTGACATCTTCTGGTTATGTGATCTGATAATAGAGATGGCCCTTCACAATTATTGACTATTCGGGGAAAAGGAAATCCAAATACTTTTAATGTGGAAGGATCAAAATTTATACATTCCTAAGACATTCCTATGGCATCATATCATAAGCAACGCCACCATTTTTTACATGATATGAAAGATGGAAGTATTTGGGAGTCACAACCTCAATTTGGATTTTAAACTTTAAGAGAATTAATAGATCTAATGAAACTAATTTTACTGAAAAAATTTAAGTTATCGAGTTATGTACTGTTGATTGGGTCCGCCTCATTTGTGGGGCCCAGTTGACATATAAAACAAAAAAAAAAGTTGTAAAAGCAAACAAAAGAAAACGAAAGAGGTGCTGCTTCGTGGAGAGCCAGAGAGCAGAGAGAAAAAAAGAGTGACAGAGAGAGAGAGAGAGAGAGAGAGAGAGAGAGAGAGGGAGAGCTGCTCACCGGGAGCACGTAGAGAAGAGGGGAAGAGAGGAAAAAAAGGCTGCGGCTTTGCGGCCTGATTCGAAGGTCAAACTATGTTGGAATTGGCTCAAATTTCAATATGTTATTCGTGATATCGAAGGTTACGAATTGATTGATTATATTTGGTGGGTACCTTCTCTAAATTCTCAATTATGATTTGGGTTTCTTTTTTCATTTGTATTAATTCATCTTTATGGTGATGAAAAAACTGTTGTATTATTAATGTTGAGCCTCTAGTATGTAACTAGAGAAGGACCCTTTTTGTATGCTACTATTTTTCGTGATTAGTAGAAGTTTATTGGTCGTGCGTGGTTTTTCCCGCATTGAATTTTCACGTTAAATCTTGGTGTTGCCGTTGCCTGTATCCCCCTATCATTTCAGCATTATATTTACATATTGCGAGGTTGTATTGCTGGAATATTTTCCTAGTTGTTGTTGGGAATAAGTCAATTTTGGTCAATTTAGTTTTGGGGAAGATATTGATTCTGGATTGGGTTAGTTTTTGGTGAATTGTTTTCCAGTTCTCCCCGACACGTACGAAGAAGAAAGAGTTACCAGCCGAGCAAACATCTAAGAGAAATCATGAGTTAGACCTCACGAATGCTTGCAAAATGTTAAATAGTTTACCGTACTGGCACGAAAATTAAAACGACATTTTTAAAGATAATATAGTCAGGGCTTTTCTTTATCTATCGAGGAGGGCGCGAATAAACAAACGATATCGGTAACCCTCGTTAAGCATTACCATAGAGGATATCTGATTCTAGTCACAATTATATCCATTGAAGTCGAGATCCTAAAAAGAGCCCGGAGAGCCTAGACCTGGAACGACGAGGTCGTCACTGCGGTCGTAGCTAATAGCTAAATGCTAGTTGGAATATGACCTTGACGAGGACTATTATCTTGAGGATGGTTGGACAAGCGACTACATCCTTATCCTTATCGACTTAGGCTAATCTTTACTTCGAAAACTGGTTGCTGAATTGGGTCCGTGTGCAATACTGGTTTCATGATCACCGCAGTTAGATTGGACGATTGCATCCCGAATCTAATTATGAGTCGAAGGTCATGATGAGATTAAGATTGCATGTGATTGGATTTCATGGACAATTGAATCGTGATAAGTTCAAGGGGACCAGAACTGCAAAGATGAAATAAAGATGACCCATCACGAATCAATATCGCCTTTCCAGTCGTACCTTGGAAAGGGTCTCTTGTGTTTCGTGGAAATTGGACAGGATATTCCTAACATATTCCCGTGGCATCACATCACAACCAGCATCTTACATTTTTCACATGATACAAAAGATGGAAGTATGGGGAAATCCCACACTCAATCTGGAGTTCAAAAGTTTTAAGAGAAGTAGTGAATCGAACGGAACTAATTTTACTAGGAAAAATGTAAGTTATCAAGTTATGCACGAAGCAAAAAGAGCTAACGAGCCGAGCAAACTAGTCAGGAATATCGTAACCAAAAAATCTCGTCTTGAAACCCTAGTTCTTAAAAATAGGTCGGACCTTGCGAAAGCTTTCCATAATTTTAAATGTTAAACCATATCGGCACGAAAATTTGAACAACATCTTTAAAATAACATCGCTAATATCATTGGAAAAAAATTGGGCATGAGCATTATTATTATAATGGACAACACAAGCAAGTTCTCTGAAAAATCGCTTTTACATGGATAATGCAATTTCCTCGTTGATGTCGACTGCACCATTTGGCAGAATGGTACGATGGCTCCATTTTACTCTCCGGGTGAACTTTATTTACCATCAATAATGCAACTTTATCTCACTTGTACGTACAAGTTTGTTTTGATTGGTAACTTTAGCAACAATAATGAACTTTAGTACAATTATTGACACCCTAGTCTTCGCAACTTGATTTTCGCATAATTATTTCGGTAAATTTCGTTCTGAAAATGGAAAATAATTTCGTGCCTAAGATATAAATTTCATATATATAATTACATCTATATATAATACCATTAGACACGGTTTACATGGGAAAAAAAGACAAAATAAGAGAGTGGACAAATCACACTTAGGTCTCATATGGTAAGAGTTCCCTAGAAGGTACGAAGAAAAGCACCCATTTTTTTTTTATTATAAGATCAGTCAACGGTTGTAATTAAGTACACACAGGCATAGGAACCAGAACTCTCTACCGATCACCCGCTGATTCTGATTATGAAAGTCCCATGGATTAACAGCTCACGAACAGGTAGTTAGCCATAATATAGCCCAAATGGTATCCTTCCTTCGTCGTGTCTAGCATTCGGAACACCTTGGCGTCCAATTTCAGCCCTCCGTCGCTGCAAGTGTCGACGATCCTCACCGTCGCCTTAGCTCCGGTTTTCGCGTTCGTCACCTGCCATGCAGTAGAACACCATGAATAAAACCTGAGTTTCAAAGAGGAACGCACGAGGGTCTGAAACACCAAACGAGACAAAAAGATTGATTGCTCATTAACCAAACTGAGAAAGAGGGTGGGAGGGGGGTGTTGCTCACGTTCAAGCACTTGCCACAGGCCGCTTGCCCGGTCGGCCCGGCTGGGCCGCAGAACCCGGTCCAACCCCACTTCTGGAGCCACGCCATCGACTGGTTCGCGTACCACGGCGCGCAGTAGGCGTGCGCGGCGTTCAAGTCCCAGTGGTTCTCCTCGGGGTTGTAGTAATGGTACCTCGCCTTGACATTGGAAGCGCTCTGCGCTCTAGAGGCTCCGGCAACGCATGCCAAAACCACCAGGAAGAGCCTCAACTTGTGATCACCCTCCATTTCTTGCTCTCTCTTTCTGCACTTTGATGATTTTCTGTGCGGTTTTCGCGAGGAGGGTGACAGAGATTTATATTTGAGGGGGATAAGAAGTGGAACATTACGGGATAGCCCTTGTGATTCGGCACAATTTAGGGCCGCTCAACGTGCGAGGTGGGGTTCTTTGAACTGTGATGGTTACCACCTTTGATGTTTCTAGGGTTTTTACACAGCTTTATTAAAAGGAAACAGCTTTGGACTCTTTTTCCTGTTGGACTCTTCTTCCTTTCGCACGACACGACGTTCGGACATGCCGTAAAGGAAGGTATCGACTTGGGTTCGTTGGATCCGGAAACACATGCGCTCGAATCGTGGGCTAGGAAGCATCGACACGCTATTTGAGCTTCTGAATCGGTGTCCGACATGTGTCGCGTGTCCGACACGCTCTGACACGTGGCGGACACGCTCGGACACGCGGTCAACGCGTGTCGGAGATCCGACACGCGGACAACGCGCCGGTAACACGCGAGTCGGGAATCCGACACGCGATTTTCGACACGCACGGGTTAATTTTACAAATTTCAAAAAATTTAGGGGTCAAAATGTAAATTTATAAAAAAAAGTAAAAAGAAAAAAAAAGAAGGGAAAGCTCGATTACTTCTGTCTGCCCTAAGCTTCTTTCCTCCGCATAGCTCCTCAAGACCCTTTCTTCCGCCGGATCTCCTCAAGACCCTTTCCTCCGCCGTGATTGCTTTTCTTGAACGTTTTCTTGCATCTCGCTTTTTGCTGGGTACCGTTTGCTCCCCACCCGCCACCAAATTACCCTTCGGCGCTGCCGCTCGAGGCCTGCCCAGGGCCTGTGCCGCCACCGCCTCAACCTCCCTTCGAGGGGTACCAGCGATATTTCGCCGGAGGGTATCCTCCGCCGCCGACGTCGCCTCCTCGTTACCCCACCACCACCGTCGCAGTCGACGTCGTTCCCCTTTTGCATTGCTAGTAATGATCGCTCTCTTTGGGTAGTTTCGGTCATTTTGCCCCTTTTCTTTTTGTACCTTCAGATGTATGTTTCTTTTCGAAGAGGCCTCTGCCTCCTCTGGTTGTGATCCTCCAGAGGGATGATCAAGTGTGGATTGCTTTTTTTGTTTTTGTTAAATTTTAAATTTGATGGTGGTTTTTGGATTGCTTGTTTTATTTTCTCCAAGTTTTATGGATTATTGAAATTGAATGTAGTTGAATTTGTTAAATTGAAACAATGAATTATATTAACAAATGGTGGTTTAATGTTTTTACTGTAAATTCATTTTAGGCTCCTTTTTTTATTATTTATTTATTTGTGAATTTGAATCAAATTAATTTATCATGTATATATAAAAATTTACTTTTTATATACAACGTGTCGCAACGTGTCGGAATTCTGTATTTTTGAGAAATAACGTGTCACGTGTCGTGTCGTGTCGCGTGTCGTGTGTCGCGTGTCGCGTGTCGGTGCTACTTAGATCGTGGGCACTACTCATTCGATCATATGGCCGTGTTAGAATATTTAAATAATTAATCACGTCTTCATATAATAATTTAAGCTTTTAGAATAGTTGAAAGTTATCCCCTAAAATTTCACATAATATCAAAGTAAAATGTTATGAGTTCAAATCATTCAATGCATTCATCTAACCACAATGATCTACTAAACCACAAACAAAGTTCGGCAGTTCATGTTATCGAGTGTAAGACGATTCGGTGGTGTTCTTGAATTATCCACCTTACGCAAGCAATGATATGGCAAGGTAGAGAAGTCAAAAAGAAGATGGGAGAGCGATGTTATTGCGTTTCATTTGTTGGCCACGAAAATGGCACGCCCAGGATCACCATAATCAGAAACCAAAACACTATAATGGAGAAATTGTTTATTTGCGTACCTGGTTTGGAATCCATCGAACTTGACGCGGAATTTGCGATGGTTTCCGAACACGAACTCAAGTTCTTCTCCCCTATACCCTTCATTAGAACACTAGTCTAATGAGATTGCCACTCACGAGAAGAAAGTTCTCTCTAGATCCGTATGTGAGTCAAATTGTGCATTATTAGGTTAGGGGAGGGACTTGAGCGCTATTTATAGAGTCTTCGACCACGGGCCCTCTCATTACGGGCCGGGCCGTACTCGGCCCACACCAGCCAGCCCCATATTAGACTTATTAAGAACCCATATATCTTACCTTTATTAGACCAAACTAATTCAGTTAATTTCAATTAATGAAGCCCACATTAGGAATTTCTTACATTCTCCCACTTGGGCGATATTAATTGAAACAGAACTGTGTGCGCACCCTTATATTGGTCTAGAGATTATTCTTAATAGTCAATCCGATCCCATAAAGTCTCGAACACCGAATCATGGCGGTAACTGCATGTACTCACGCAAAGCCTTCCATGGTAACGAGTGCTTTCAACTTTACTGATATGGATTCAATATGGTAGTGTGTCAAATGGATAATACCTCAAAATGAGTGATACTTCATGTGTCATCCATTTTGTTAGTCCAAATTCTCTCTCCTTAAGTGTCACAAAACCTAGTGTGTCACCAGAGAATATCCTTCATGGTTCCAACGAACCTGCATATGTCTTACCTTGATAGTTAACTGTACTTTATGTGTAACAAGACATATCGTTAAGGCTAATACCAAGAATGCCCTATAGCCTGTACTCAAGGTTTACACAATGCCTCGAGATTTTCATCAAATATATGTACTCAACTTGATAAATCTACATTCACAAATACCTCATTGAATGCAAAAGAGTTGATACATATTCAAATATTACAAAATGTAACAAAATTAGATACAAACTTCATAAGAGCAACACAAGACTAAACAGCTCCAACTAATTAACAATATCCCATGATACTCCTAAGCCCATGTTCATGACATGTCGATCAAATACACAAGGGCGAATGCCTTTAGTTAGCGGATCTGCAATCATATCATCTGTTGAAATGTGCTCTACTGTATTGTCACCATCCTGAACTTTTTCTTTTATAGTCAGGTACTTGACATCTATATGCTTAGACCCCTTGAGACCTCTGTTGTTGTTAACAAACAACACTGCAGAGTTATTGTCACAATACAACTGTATGGGCCTATCCACAAAATCAAATACGGTCAACTCCTTAATGAGGTTCCGGAGCCAAATTGCCTGAGTAACGGCCGAAAAGCATGCTACAAACTCTGCTTGCATGGTAGAGGATGTCATTGATTTCTGTTTCACTTTTCCATGATACTGCACCTTCTGTTAACTTAAAGATGTAACCCGTTGTCGACTTCTTTTCATCCTGACAGCCAGCAAAGTCTGAATCCGAATACCCAACTAAGTGTAGGTCCTGAACATGTTTGTAAATCAGCATATAGTCTTTTGTCCTCTTTAAATACCTCAAAACCTTCTTGGCAGCAACCCAATGATCATGTCCTGGATTTGACTGATATTTGCCTAGAATTCCTGTTGCAAAAGCAATATCTGGTCTAGTACATACTTGAGCATATATAATACTCTCAAGTGCACTAGCATAAGGTACATTCTTCATTTGGGCTTTCTCAAAATCGGAATGAGGACATTGTGACAGACTCAACTTATCACCCTTAATAACATGAGCAATTCCTGGCTTACATTGCTGCATGTTGAATCTTTCTAAGATACGATCAACATATGCCCTCTGAGATAAACCCAATAGTCGGCGAGAACGATTCCTATGAATCTCAATACCAAGGACAAAAGACGCCTCACCAAGGTCCTTCATATCAAAGTTCTTTGACAACATCTGTTTTGTCTCATGCAGTAAACCAAGGTCACTGCTTGCAAGCAGGATATCATCCACATAGAGTATAAGGAAAATGAATTTCCTCCCACTGACCTTTGCAGTATATACACTGATCTACTTTGCTCTCAACAAAACCAAATGAAGCGATAACATTATGAAACTTCAAGTACCATTGTTTAAAAGCTTGCTTGAGACCATAAATAGACTTTTTCAGTCTACATACAAGCGTACCTGAATCATCTGCCGCAAAGCCTTTGGGTTGCATCATATAAACTTCTTCATTAAGGTCTCCATTGAGAAAGGCAGTTTTAACGTTCATATGGTGTAATTCCATATCGAAATGAGCTACCAATGCCATGATCACTTTGAAAGAATCTTTAGAAGAGACTGGAGAAAAAGTTGCTTCATAGTCTACTCCTTCTCTCTGAGTGAAACCCTTGGCTACCAGTCTGGCTTTAAACTTCTCAATCTTTCCTTTGGAGTCCCTTTTAGTCTTATACACCCATTTGCAGCCAATGGGTCTATGACCTTCCGGTAATTCAACAAGTTCCCAAACACCATTATGCTTCATAGACTGTATTCCATCTCTCATTGCATCCAACCACAGTTCGGACTGAGGACAAGAAACAGCTTCCACATAAGTCACTGGATCAGCCACAGAACCGATATCGTAGTCTTGCTGTCCTATATAGACTAAATAGTTCGGTGGTATAGCTGATCGTCTCTTCCTAACGGATCTCCTTACTGGAGCAGCAACAGCCTCATCCTGCACCTGAGAGCCTTGAGGAACTTCATTAGGAGCTGTCTCGACAATAAGATCCCGAGCCTCAACAGGTTCAGTCTGTGGTGTGGGAGTCTTCACAATTATCTGTATGGGAGGAGATAAAGATACAACATTATCCACTATACTATTATCCTCAATAGTCTATGAGCAGCCACTTTTTTCGGCCACATCAAACTCCAGAAACTCGGCTGTCTGTGATTCCATAATTCTTATGCCTCCATTGGGATTATAGAACCGATATCCTTTCGAATGATCCGGGTAAGATACAAAGTAACACCGAGTGGTTCTGGAGTCCAACTTACTTAATGTTGGATTATATAACTTTACTTCTGCAGGACATCCCCAAACCTTAAGATGGTTTAAGCTAGGCTTACGTCCAGTCCATAACTCAAAAGGAGTCAATGGAACAGCTTTAGTAGGTACACGATTCAGAATGTACAAAGCTATTTTCAAAGCTTCACCCCACAGAAAACCAGGTAAATTTGTCCTACTAATCATACTCCTCACCATTTCCATAAGGGTGCGATTGCGCCTTTCGGTTACACCATTTTGCTCAGGACTCCCAGGCATAGTGAACTCAGCCACTAT